AAACATTCCATGACATATGGGGCCCGAAATAGGCTCCCCGGTTCTCTGTAACTCAGACCCTTTTTACAAGCTTCTCAGCCGCCTGGAAGTGGGTCCAGACGCCCACACTGTGCTAAAGGTGATGAGTGTGAGCTCAGAAAAGGAGGCGGGAAGCACACTGGACCGAGTCAGGAGACTGAGCTGCTTAAGTGCACGTGACTTTGGTGAGTTGCCCGGCCTCTTCTCAGTTTTCTCATCTAGAAAAGGCCTCCCTCACAGAGAGGTTAAGAGGCTCCAAGTAGAAAAGTTTATGAGGGTGAGAGAGTCTTGTAAGCTCTCAGGAGCTATATGAGTGCAAACATGCTCACATTCATTGTCAGGACTTGTGATTCGGAGCAAGCAGACTGATAGATCATTCTTATTGATCTATGCTGGGCACTCAGTGCCTCGCATGTATTATCTCCCTGCCATGGACTGAATTGTGTTCCGCCAATTTCATAGGTTAACGCCCTACCCCCAATGAATGGTATTTGGAGATAGGGTTTTGGGGAAGTAATTAGGTTTATTTATTTTTATTTTTTAGTAATTAGGTTTGGATGAAGTCATGAGAGTGCCCTAATAAGAAAGAGACACCTGCCCTAACCGGTTTGGCTCAGTGGCTAGAGCATCGACCTGTGGACTCAAGGATCCCAGGTTCTATTCTGATCAAGGGCAGGTACCTTGCTTTCAGGCACATACCAAGTAGAGAGTGTGCAGGAGGCAGCTGATCAATGTTTCCAACTCTATCCCTCTCCTTTTCTCTCTGTAAAAAAAATTAATAAAATATATTTTAAAAAAGAGAGACATCAAAGAGCATCCTCTCCTCCCCTCCCCTCCCCTCCCCTCCCCTCCCCTCCCCTCCCCTCCCCTCTCCTCTCTCACATGAAGGAAAGACCATGTACAGACACAGCCACAGCCAGAAGGTGGCCATTTGCAACCCAAAGGGAGAGCTTTCGTCAGACATCAAGCCTGAATGCACCTTGAATTTACACTTCCAGTCTCCAGTTTACACTTCCAGCCTCCAGGACCTTGAAAACTAAAGTCCTGTTGTTAAGCCACTCAGTCTTTAGTGTTTTATTACTGAAGTCTGAGCTGACAAAGACACTCCCTTGATCTCCTAACATCCCTATTAGATCAGCCCTGTCATTACTGCCATTCTACAGCTGAGAAAAAAGAAGCCCATAGAGTTTAATGAACTTGCCCAAGTGGTGGAACCAGGATTATGAATGCACAGCAGAGACCAGCCAGAGCTCACCTAAACCATTTCTCCTTCAGGGGTAAAGAGCTAAACCTCGTTTCCCAGCTCTGTTACATCCAGAGAGCTTTCTTCAGTGGAATGTATGTGAAAGTTTTATATACCGCTCATAGGACGGGGAGGGGAAGAGAACACGGACTGTTTCCACATTCTCTTGGCGGGGACCATGTGTGAAAGGCGGCAGCACAAGAAGGGAGCAGCTTGAGCCTCTCAGTGACATGGTGAAGCAGGGCTCCTTCCAACCAACCCCCACTGCTCTCCAATTTTAATAAGATATTAACTGCTTCCCTGGCTGGTTTGATAGAGCAACGGCTGGCTCACAGAAGAGCCCAGGAGTTCAATTCTGATCAAGGCCACATGCCCTGGTTGCAGGCTTAATCCCCGGTCCGGGGGACGTGCAGGAGGTAAGCTGATCAATGGATTCTCATCAGTGATCAATCTCTCTCTCCCTCTTCCTTCCTCTCTGAAATCAATAAAAATATTTTTTAAAAATCATACATATTAGGTCTAGTAATAATTAATGTCGTTTTCGAATACCTTTTTAAAATCGAATTTATTTAAACAATACAACAAAATTTAATCAACAATATAGTTGCTGTTGTTTTCTACTACTTGTGCCCAACGCTCAGGAAGCATTTTAATCCCTCTGTTGTAAAATTCTTGTGATTTTGATGCAAAAAATTCAGTCAATGCATTTTTGAGGCATTCTTCATTATTAAATTTTTTTTCCAAGAAGAAAGTTTTGCAAAGAACTAAACAAATGGTAATCGGAAGGGGCAATATCAGGAGAATATGCAGGTTGAGGGAGAATTTCCCATTCCAAGTGGCGCAGTTTTTCAGCAGTGATTCTTGCAGTATGCGGTCGTGCGTTATCGTGGTGAAGAATTATGCCCTTCCGATTAATCAGCGCGGGTTCTTTTTCTCTTAAAGCTTGGGCACTATACACTGCACTTGTAATGGTTTGGTTAGATGGTAAAAGTTCATAATGAAGAATTCCTTTAAAATTCCACCAAACACACAACATCACTTTTTTCGCATGCAAGTCAGGTTTTGGCGTGGGCTGCGGAGCCTCATTTTTGTCCAACCATTGAGGCCGCCTTTTCAAATTAACATACAGCACCCATTTTTCATCTCCGGTAACAATTTGCTCTAAAAACGGCAAACGGTTTTGAAGAGAGAGGAGCGAACTGCAAATTGTGACTCTTTGATTACGGTTGTTGTCGGTCAACTCATGAGGAACCCATTTTCCAAACTTTTGGACTTTGCCAAGTGCACGCAATTGATTGGAAATTGTTTTTTGTGAACAATTTAAAGTTGTCGCAAGCTCTTGTTGGGTAATTTGAGGATTTTGCACCAAAAGAGCTTGAAGAGCTTCTTGATCAAAATTGGACACATGGCCTCGACCACTCTTGTCATCTAACGAAAAATTTCCCTCGCGAAATTTCTCAAACCAACGCTGGCATTTTCTGGCGCTAACTGCATCTTGACCAAGAGCACTACAGATGTTTTTTGCAGCCTCCCTTGCTTTTCTTCCTAATTGGAACTCATAAAGCATGCAGTGCCGAATATGCTCTTCATCCGCCATCTTCTTAGCCCTAGTTTTGCAACAAAAACCAAACCAAACACTAACTTTTTCAAGCAAAACTTGTTAATTGCACTTCACACGTTCTGTAGATACCACGTGTTTGAAGGTTATGTCAATACAAGTCAACGCCAAGCGAGATTTTATACGAATGTTTAAAAACGACATTAATTATTACTAGACCCGATAGTATTCAGTCTTTTACATATGGTTTCTTTCACTCAGCAGAATGTTTTGAGACTGAACCTGTGGTTGTGTGTAGAATGTCAACCCTTGTTGTGTTTGGTAAGAATTACTGAATACACCACTTGTTGATCCAACAACCTCCAACAGATAGACACCTGGTCTGTTTCCAGTTTTTGGCTAGTATGACTAAAACCACTATAAACATGATGGTACAAGTCCTTTTGTAGCCAAATATTTTCACTTCTGTTGGGTAAATACATAACAATGGAATAGGGTAAGTGAATTTTTTTTTTTAAGAACCTGCAGAGTGTTTCTTAAAGCAAAGTAGCTGTACTCTTACTTTCCCACCAGCAGTATACAAGAACCCCCATTGCGCCACATTTTTGCCAACATTTGGTGTTGTCACTGCTTTCAGTAAGACCAGATCTTCCTTTACTGTATCTGCCTCTGGATGTTAGAAAATGGGAAGAGCTTTGTCATCACTGTCCTCAATAAGCGTGTATGACCCTGCGATTGGTGCGCACTGTGCAGAAGCTAATGTAAATTTATTCTCATAACAACCTGTTTGGAGGCTGGGGTAGGTGAAATAACTGGGGAACTAGGATTCAGACCCGGGTTTTTCTGGCTCCATTTTCTTTTCACTTTGGCTAGGACTAGTGAAACAAGATGGTGTTGAGAAGGGAGATTCCTGTTGCAAGGGAGTGTGGTCAACCTTTTCCCGTTAGTCAGAGCCCTCCAGGAAGCTCAGAAGATTCTGGTTCATGGGAGAATCTAGGGTTTCTGGCCCTGTAGGTTTGTTAATTTTTATTATTTTTATTTATTTTACATTTTATTTTATTTTTGGCCCTGTAGGTTTAGATGAATTGGGGCAAAGGATGGAAGAAAGCTAAAAGAAGAAATTCTCCAAACACTTGTTTCCTTTGAGGTGAAGGAGATTAAGTTCTCAGGCTCATCAAAGGCCTGAAGGGAGGATGAGGGCCCCACGGAGACCTTCAAAAGGTCTTATCTGCTGCCCTAAGCATTCGAGGGAAGGATCCTCTGGGGGCTCAAATCTCAATACAGTTCTGCTTGGCTGAGTAATATAAGCAGTTTGACCCAAAGAAAGCACCCGGATTTATCTGAGCGACTGCGTCAAAGCTAGGGTTTGGGATACAAATGGAGACCAGAATGGATGGAGCCCCGTCCGTTTAGTGCTCACAGCTGTATGCGGTAAATACAACAATCTTCATTCGTCAGATGAGTATTCTGAAGAAGAGAGGATTTGAGTCATTTCTCCAGAGTCCCACAGTTCCAAACTCTGTCCACCTCCTGGTGGGAAAGAGTGATGCAGGGTCTGGAGAAGCGCAGGCTTGGAGCTGCCTTCTGAGATTGCTGCTCCTAAGGTCCTTCATAGAAATCCTGACGCCGATCCTGCAATTAGTATGTGCCCGCAACCAAGGTTCATGCCCTTGATCGGAATCAAACTCGGGATCTTTCAGTCTGTAGGCCGACGCTCTATCCACTGAGCCAAACCAGTTTTGGCTTCTCCTGTTCTCTTGATACCCCCAACTCTGGTTTCTTAATGAATGAAATGCCGGACAGTCATCCCCTCCCCCACGCAGAGATCGGTGGGTTTGAATGCGCTGCGTTCCGGCTGCGGCGGCCCCTGGGTAATTTTGCCAGGCTGGGTGGGGGCACGTAAGGACACCTTCAGTTCCATTCTGCTCCCCACGAGACCCCATCTGCAGGGCTGGAAGCTGGCGGAGCTCAGAGCCCCTGTTCCCCGGCGGCGCGCCCGCCCACAAGGGGATCGCCAGAAGCCCAGGCTGGCGCGGGGCGCGCAGGAGAGACGCGGTTGGGGCGGCGGTGCGGGCAGCAGAAGCGGGGGGTGGGTAGGGGTGCAGCCAGCAGGAAAGGCGGGGGCGAGGGGTTCGGAGCTGATTGGGGCCGGGGGTGGGGCCGCAGCGATCACGTGAGGGATCAGCCGGGCGCGGGGTGGGGCCGGGCGCGGTAATAGGACCGGGGCGGCCCGGGGGAAGCTCCCTACGGCGGCTGCTCGGGCACCGACTCGCACTCGCCGGCTGCAGGCCCAGGCTCTCGGCGGCGGAGTAGGTGAGGCGGCGGGAGGGTGGCGGGATGACCTTGGCGGCGGCGGAAGGGGAGGCCGGGGCCATGCGCGCCCCTCGCCGGGGCCTGGAGGTGTTTCCGGGGCCCGGCGGGCTGGGGGGACCCTCCGGCAGTCCCCGCAGCAGCGGGGGGGCCCGGAGAGAAGAGCCGTAAACAACCCGCCCGCGGGCAGCCGGGCTCCCTGCCCCCAATGGGCCCGGGAGCTCGCGCCCCGGTGGCTCCTCCGCTCGGGCTGTGTCCCGGGCCGGGTCATCCCGATCCTGTGGCCCGCCCGGCCCTGGGTCCGGCCCGGGAGGCCGCCCGGGCGGAGCCGGGCTGTTTGGGGGGGGGGGATGATCCTCGGGAGGAGCCTGCGGGGAATGGCTTGGCCCAGAACCCAGTGACTTTTCGGGTAGCATCTGGCTCCCCGCCCCTGCGCCCATTTCTGGTCTTCCGTTTTCGCAGCAGACTGCTGAAATAACAGTATCTATCTGCATTTATTTTATGTGTTTTTTCTTATTCTGGGCAACTTTCTGCACGCAATCACACACGATTCCAGGAGCCCCAGAAGACAGAAATGAGAAAACAGGAATCTGGAGCTGGGTGGATTCAGCAGAAACCCGCAGAAAAAGTTAAATGCACAGATGGGAAGGAAAATGAAACTGAGGGAGATGGTGCCTCAGGCCCAGGGTGGTGTGGGAAGGGGGAAGCAGGGTGGAGTCCTGGGGCATTACCCTCCCCTCAGACCCTGAGGCCTGAGAGAGGGAGCAATGTGGGGTAACTGGATTTGTTGGGCTCAGCTGAAGGCAGCTGGATTTGCCCCCTTAATGGGCTTAGGCCAACCCCCTTCCCTGGCCACAGAAGAAGCCAGTAGGCACGGGGAGAAACAAAAGCCCAGCCCCCTCTATAGTGCCTGACCCAGTAGAAACCCTCACCCAGTGGAGGGTAGGTAGTGAGTTCAAAGGGAGGCCTCACACCTTTTATCACCTTGGAAAACCTGATTCCCAAGTTCCTCCACTCCTAGGTGAGCACAGCTGAGATTCATTCATCTTCTAGATGAATCTATCAATGCAGAGTGAGGGAGGAGACGACGACGAAAGAAGGCCACTTTCCTTTTCTTTCATAAAGTCCTTTCCTTAATGGAGAATTGTTTTCTGTTGGCACTGGTGACAGGGACCAATGGTCCTTGAGCACAGAAAAAGAGGATGCTCAGTGGTTAGAGCATCAACCCACAAATGAAGGGTCTCCGATTCAATTCTTTTTTTTTTTTAAACTATGTCTATTTTTTTTTCTTTTTTTAATATATTTTTATTGATTTTGTACAGAGAGGAAGGGAGAGAGAGAGTTAGAAACATGGATGAGAGAGGATCATCGATTAGCTGCCTCTTGCACACCCCCTACTGGGGATATGCCCGCAACCAAGGTACATGCCCTTGACCGGAATCGAACCCGGGACCTTTCAGTCCCCAAGCCGATGCTCTATCCATTGAGCAAAACCAGTTTCGGCCGATTCAATTCTTGTCCAGGGCATGTACCTCCATTACAGGCTCCATCCTTGGTTGGAGCATGTGCAGGAGGCATCCAATCAACGTGTCTTTCTCACATAGATGTTTCTCAGGGTTTGTGTCTCTTCCCCACCCTTCTATTCTCTAGAAAAATCAGTGAGAAAAATATCCTCAGGGCAGGATTAACAAAATAAATCGATAAATAAATTTAGCCAAGGTCCCAGGTTCGATTCCAGTCAAGGGCACATGCCTGGGTTGTGGGCTCGATCCCCAGTGGGGGACTTGCAGGAGGCAGCCTATCCATGAATCTCTCATCATGGATGTTTCTATCTTTCTCTCCCTCTTTCTTTCTCTCTGAAATCAATAAGAATATATTTAAAAAAAATAAAAAAAGAAAGAGGCTGAGTTCCCACCCTATGTGGCTTTCCCAAAGAGAGTTGAATGTTCCCTGGAGAGAGGTTCTGCACAAACCGTTTTTTGGGCATTTGTCCCAGAGCTGGGTACTGCCCCTTGAAGAGGTACAGATCTCATTGGGTGGCTTCTCATCCCAGAGGGTGGCAACACAGGCCTGACACAGCCTGGCTCCAGGAACTCCCTTGATATTAGGTCTGGCCAGCCCTATTTCCCAGCTGGTCAGAAGGTGAGAGTGGAAGCTTTTTGGCTCCGGGAAAAGCCTGCCCCTGTGCTGTTGACTCAGCATCTTGCTTTGGGGCCTGGTTCTTCCTCTCTCCATCTGCTGAACTAGGGAGTCGGAGTAGGAAGTTGCTCACATTTTAGGGGGGGGAGAGAGCTTTTGTGTTACTACAGGCAGCTGGATTGAGAAGTGAAAGGGAGAGCATTTATATGTCAGGGGAGCCTTGAAATGTCTGTTGAGTGACATTCTTAAATGTGTGGGGTGGCTGTGTAGACTCCCTCCACTGGGACAGAAGGACTGAAATATTTGGGGGTGAACACTCGCCATGTCTGCCACATATTTTTGAGAGTTTGGCATAAGGAACGTATTAGAGATATGTGAGGTTGGATTGGATGAAATGGGACATTGTGAACGTCAAGGATGGAAATTGGGCATTTTCATAAGGTCCAGCCTTTTGTATAGAGAGATGCCAGTACGGGGGTTGCCAGTACGTTGATGATCAGGCTGAGGCACATACAGATGTAATTGTACTCGCCGGATATTAGGAGGCAGTCAGCAGTCTGCACCCGGTCCCATATCATCATCTCTTTGGTGTAAGCTCTCTATACACTGCAGGAGCTGCCTAAGAGAGGGAGATAAATCCAGAGAGTTCTTCCTTGGTTGATAATGTTCATATTACCCCCCTGGTTTGGCTAGGGAGGGGGGTTTAAGGATCAAACACCATTCCCTATCTAAACTGGTCCCATTTCTAACCTCAAGCCTCATCCCCACTCCCTTTCCACAGCACCTAGGGCCTCCAAGTCTTAGCTCCCCTTTGCAGGGAGCACGGCTCACTTTCTTTGATCTGCAAATCATCGCCACTTGCTCCTGATCTTCCTGAGGGACATTGTAGCTCCTTTCTGCTTTCCGCTTTTCCCTCTAGTTCTCTGATACTTTTTTCCAGGAACAGTCCTTACAATTGATAGAAGTTTAATTGTAACGCATGTATCCCTCCCCACTGGTGTTTGAGTTATTTATGTTGATACATACAGTTCTAGTTCATTCATCTTAATGTACAGAATACTTACCTACTGTGGCACAGTTAGGTTGTTCCTGAGTTTTCACTGTTGCTACTAAATATCTTTGGATCTCTCAGACACTTGGCAGGAGTTTCTGTAGGTCAAAAGCAGAAGTTCAATTAATTGCTGGGTCATCGTCTGTGTGGCTAGATAAGTGAGGTTTTACCTACCTATGCTCCCAACAGCAAGGAAGGTTTCTGTTCCCCGTGTTCCCCAACACCAGACATGATCAGACTTTGATTTTTCTCAAGCACCACTTTCCCTCACCTGTAAAACATAAACTTACACAAGACTCTCCCAGTGTTACTGTTTGATGAATGTGTTATCTGTCTCCACCAGGCCCGTAACTCATTTAGCCTGGTCATCAAGATAGCCTTGAGTTAGCAGCAAGGACGGGGAGAGGAGGATGGGGCAGATACCACCAAGATAGTGCACCAGCTTGGTACAGAGCGCTATTCTGCCAAGAGACCCAGCGGAGGCTGGGCTTCTCTGTGACCCTCTGACCGGCTGACCTGGACTCGGGCAGCATGTGCCCACACACACCAACGTCACATGGCCTCGGGGCTTGCACAAGACCTGGTGCCGGCGAAGGGCTGCAGTCACTCCAAGGTTGAGGCCTTGTCCAGCATCCGTTGGGAGCCATCTGCCACCCATTCTCCATCCCGCTTCACCCTGCGGGTGTTCGGGAGGAACTTGGTTCTGGAGTTCAGGATAGCGGAACAAACCATCATTTGAGTGCTTGTCACTAAAGTTGGGAGGATCCTAATCTTTCATCCACACTGGGGTACTTTGGAGAATAAAAAGAATGACCCCGAGACACCAGCTGGCCTGTGGGTAGGGAGAGGCAGAACACTGACTGCACTTAGTGAGCGAGAGACTGTCCCAGTGGCAGTTCATTGTAAGGCTGCTGCTCAGACACAAGGCGCATGAAAGGCTTTTTGAAACAAGAACATCATCTTCTGTCTCCCCACAGCCTGGTGAGGGGAGTAGCTTTTCCTGGGGCCCCAGGAGAGGAAACCAAGACCAAGCCAGAGAGACGAAGCCTTTCTGTTACTGGCTTCTGTGGTTTCCAACCTCTCTGTCACGCTGGTCCCCATCCGGCAGGGAGATGTCACGTAGCCTGTGATTAGATTAGGGAGTAGCGCGTACCTGCGACCAGAGAACCCTGGGGCACTAGTATCATTCAAATCTCTAAGGATTTTTATAAAGTGGTTGCAGGGTCCTTCAGAATCCTGCAGTATGCCCATTTTCGAAAGAGACAAGGGGATGCCGGGCCTCAGGCAGCATCCCAGTAAGGCCACATCAGTCAGTGAGCAAAAGCTTCCAGAACTTGGTCCAAACTGTGTCTAGTTTCTCAACAATAGAAACTTTTTCGACTCATTGAGACCTCCCGGAGGGTGTTGGGGGAGGGGAGGGTTCCTTGTTTTAAGGCTAAGGTAGTCATTTGCTCCTGTTTGCAGCATGTGGGCTGTTGTGGCTGATCTTAAGCAATGTTCCATTTGTGGGTTCTTTAGCCCCGTGGTTTGCAGGCAACATGGTGGGAGTTAGTCACTTATGGGGGGGATGACTGACAGGTGGGCAGCAGGGGGAGTGGCCAAGGCAAGCGGAGCCTTCTTCTCACTGGCTCTCCTGGTTCCCTTGGAACCTGCAGGGCTGATGAAGGTGATGCTGTGGCCACCTTCAGGGGATGCCTTTTTCTGGGTCACACAGCAATTGCTTGGGGTCAGGGGAGTGGGGTGGGTGGGGGATGGGGACATTTCAGCCGCAGGGAGTCAGGCTCTAGGGGATGGATAGCCAACCTGGTGC